AATAATTTACATTTTTGAAAATACCTGTATACGGTGATAATATGGAAATAAATGACGTTTACTACATTTATTAAATTTTATACAGTTATATGACGTTTTTGACGTTTACACCTTTTTGACAGTCCCTGGATTTCATCCCCTAAATATTGACGGATCATTTCCATAAACAATAGTTGTCTTCTTTGGTCAAAACACATCCTACATGTAAAATTTCGCGACGATTGGTCCATAACTTTGGCCTTTATCGTGTTTGCAAATTATAATGGACTCACGGACGGACACACATGTCTGGAACATGTCACCTTGTATAGATATGACGATCGGTATACTTAACTCAAACTCTTAAATTAATAATAAATTATACCAATTAAGAGCCAACCGAATGATGTCTGTGACCCGTGGACAGATCACAAACAAGCTTTCTCTCAAACCAGATCCCTTTCTCCGTGTAAAATGTCGGGTCATAATTTTGACCTGTAGAGAGACTAGAATACAAACCGTAATAAATTTTTGATTGATTTGATCCCCTAAAAATGAACTGATCTCTACCGAAGATAGGTGTCGTCTTTGATCACAACCGAAACTACATGTGGAATTCGTGGCTGTTGGTCCATAACTGGCCATTATGGCCAGTATACCTTGAAATAATGGTCCTAATAGTTCAGTGCGCTACAAACTCATGGAGCAACATAAATTTATAAATCTCCATCAGTCATGTTGAAGCCATTTACGAACCCTGCATAGATCATATCTTCTTAAAAACGTCTATACCTAGAAGACCTTCCACAAGTCCCAGTATCAGTCATTTATAGCAAAAAACTATTTTACAGATAGGTCCCCTTCCCCATACATTGCTACTGTTTAGATGTTTAGTTCCAATGTAATAATACCGGTTTTTCGAAATGAAGTGGCTGGAATTTCACATACCGGGTGCCTAAAGGGTAAAAAATGTATTTGCAGGAAAACTTTCAGTTTTATACCAAATTTTTCGCATAGAGGTCCCGCCAAATTTAAGTAATTCAGTCGTCCTTACTGCATTTTCAAACCGAACATTTTTTGTCTCTAATCTAATAATAACCAAAAGAAAAAGTAAGAAAAGTAGTAAAGTCGGACGGGGCCGACTATATGATACCCTTCACCACTATGGGCATATTAAACAAGACCATTAACATGAAATTGGATGAAATAAAATATGTGATATTTATCTAAATGTGAATCTACCTAGATCTATCCATAAAGTATGTAAATCGACTTCAAACAAATATAAATAGGTCATCCGTTGGGCTATGTCTGTACTTCTAGAAAACGCAACTACGTAATTCTATGCTCAATTTTGTAAGTTGTGCAAAATTTGATGTCAATCTGACTACATGAGGAGTTTGATGCCCAATTTGCTTGAAATCGGGCGAAAAAATATATGGAAGCTCTATCCAAATATTAGGTTAGGTTATAGTAATTTCAGAACGTTTTGTTCCTATCAGCCTATTGGTTCCTTGGTGCGTCAATTACTTAAAATCAATCTATAATAAAAGGGAGCTATTTCTAAATCTGGACCGATTTTCTCGAAACTTGGCAGACATCTCTCTAGGCTCGTTTCAGTACGTTATGTCAGATATCGTGCAAATCGCAAGATATATGTGGACTTTTGTGCACCATTTACATGAAATCGAACAAAACTATATATGGGAGCTATATCTAAATCTGGACCGATTTTCACGAAACAAGGCAGACATCACTCTACGCTCAATTCAGTACGTTATGCCAAATTTCGTGCAAATCGAAAGAGACATAGGGACTTTGGTGCACCATTTACATGAAATCGGACGAAACTATATATGGGAGCTATATCTAAATCTGGACCGATTTTCTCGAAACAAGGCAGACATCACTCTACGCTCAATTCAGTACGTTATGCCAAATTTCGTGCAAATCGAAAGATATATAGCGACATTGGTGCACAATTTACATGAAATCGGACGAAACTATATATGGGAGCTATATAGAAATCTGGACCGATTTTCTCGAAACATGGCAGACATCTCTCTAGGCTCATTTCAGTACGTTATGTCAGATATCGTGCAAATCGCAAGATATATGTGGACTTTTGTGCACCATTTACATGAAATCGAACGAAACTATATATGGGAGCTATATCTAAATCTGGACCGATTTTCACGAAACAAGGCAGACATCACTCTACGCTCAATTCAGTACGTTATGCCAAATTTCGTGCGAATCGAAAGAGACATAGGGACTTTGGTGCACCATTTACATGAAATCGGACGAAACTATATATGGGAGCTATATAGAAATCTGGACCGATTTTCTCGAAACTTGGCAGACATCTCTCTAGGCTCAATTCAGTACGTTATGCCAAATTTCGTGCAAATCGAAGGATATATAGGGACTTTGGCGATTTCATTTACATGAAATCGAACGAAACTATATATGGGAGCTATATCTAAATCTGGACCGATTTTCACGAAACTTGGCAGACATAATTCTAGACCTAAATGATTAGGCTGTACCAAATTTCGTGCAAATCGAAAGATATATAGGGACCGTTTACATTAAATCGGTTAAATATATGGGAGCTATATATAAATCTGAACCGATTTTCCCCAATTTCAATAGGGTTCGTCCTTGTGCCGAATAAGAGACCTATGCCAAATTTCATCCAATTCGGATCATAAATGCGACCTGTACTTTGTTTACAATTTAACATGCACAGACAGACAGACGGACGGACGGACATGCATAAATCGACTTAGAAAATGATTCTATGCATATTCTCAAAAGGTACCATGTGTCTATCTCGTTTCCTTTTGCCTGTTACAAACATATGCACAAAAACATAATACCCTGTACCACAGTGTGGTGAAGGGTATAATAATATAAATAGATAATTAAAAATATTGCTCCATGTTTTGTTATAGGATTATACCAGGGTCCCCAACGATGTTTATGTGTATTAAAGGCGCTCTCATAAGTTCGAACATATAAAGCGAGTTCGACTTATATAGCTAGAAAATCTTGTAAAGACAGATTACCCTATATAGCTTTTTTTATATGTCTCCTAATAAATATTTTAATATTTTTAACTATTATTTTTTATTATTTTTTAATTATTGCTAAAATTATTTATAATTTTTGTATTTATACCCTTCACCACACTGTGGTACAGGGTATTATGTCTTTGTGCATATGTTTGTAACAGGCAAAAATAATCGAGATAGACCCATGGTTCCTTTTGAGAATATGCATAGAATCACTTTCTAAGTCGATTTATGCATGTCCGTCCGCCCGTCCGTCCGTCCGTCTGTCTGTCGATGTTAAATTGTAAACAAAGTACAGGTCGCATTTATGATCCGAATTGGATGAAATTTGGCACAGGTCACTTATTCGGCCCAAGGACGAACCCTATTGAAATTGGGAAAAATCGGTTCAGATTTAGATATAGCTCCCATATATATATATTTAACCGATTTAATGTAAACGGTCCCTATATATCTTTGGATTTGCACGAAATTTGGTACAGGCTAATCATTTAGGTCTATAATGATGTCTGCCAAGTTTCGTGAAAATCGGTCCAGATTTAGATATAGCTCCCATATATAGTTTCGTCCGATTTCAGGTAAATGGTGCCCCAAAGTCCCTATATATCTTTTGATTTGCACGAAATTTGGCATAACGTGCTGAATTAAGCCTAGAGTGATGTCTGCCAAGTTTCGGGAAAATCGGTCCAGATTTCTATATAGCTCCCACTTATATATAGCTCCCACTTATAGTTTCGTCCGATTTCATGTAAATGGTGCCCCAAAGTCCCTATATATCTTTCGATTTGCACGAAATTTGGTACAGCCTAATCACTTAAGTCTAGAATGATGTATGTAAAGTTTTGTGAAAATCGGTCCAGATTTAGATATAGCTCCCATATATAGTTTCGTCCGATTTCATGTAAATGGTACCCCAAAGTCCCTATATTTCTTTCGATTTGCACGAAATTTGGCATAACGTACTGAATTGAGCCTAGATTGACGTCTGCGTTGTTTCGTGAAAATCGGTCCACATTTAGATATAGCTCCATTTTATTATAGTTTGATTTTAAGTACTTGACGCACCAAGGAACCAATAGGAACAAAACGTTCTGAAATTAGTATAACGTATCCTGTGACAAGTTTGTTTGAAATCGCTTAATATTTGGCCCGATTTCAAGTAAATTGCGCATCAAACTCCTCATGTTAGTCAGTTTGACATCAAATTTTGCACAACGTACAAAATTGAGCATAGAATTATGTAGTTTCGTTTTCTAGAAGTACAGACATAGCCCAACGGATGACCTATTTATATTTGTTTGAAGTCGATTTACATACTTTATGGATCACATATTTTATTTCATCCAATTTCATGTTAATAGTCCTGTTTAATATACCCATAGTGGTGAAGGGTATCATATAGTCGGCCCCGTCCGACTTTACTACTTTCCTTACTGGTTTTTGTATATCCTTCTGCTTAGCAAACTGTAAATTATTTTATTAATTTATTATTTTTTATTTTGATTTGATTAAAATAATGTTAACACCAGTAAGGACATTATGGACTGGTTACTTAGTTAAATGATTTTATTTTTTTTAAATTAATTAGATATTAAAATGCGAATACATGCAAGGAGGATGCAAAAGGATAAAAACTAATTACATTAGATCTAAAGCAATAACAACAACAGCAAAAAGGGTAATATTAACGATGGGAAAAAACACATACGCAGACACACATACACATAAAGAAAATAAAATAATTACATGTTTCAAACTTCAAGAAGTCATTTAGTAAATTGAAATCAATAAAGTGGGGAAGGGGGAAAGAGGTTGGGGCAAGGGAGAGCAAAAGGATTGGACATTCACAATAAATTAGAAAACACACAAGGATATCATACAAAATAGAAAAAAGAATGAAAATGGAGAAGAAAGAAGAAGAAGAAAAATCAATGCAATACTTACACAATGCCGTTCCTGCAGTATTACCAGCAGCAAAATGGGCAGCATATGGATTGGCCATTGCCATTGTTGCTTGCGGATGATGGGCGGCAGCATGCAATGAAGCAAAATGCGTTTGGTGTTGTTGTTGTTGCAATTGATGGTGATGATGCTGTTGTTGTTGCTGCTGTTGCGTTGTTGTTGCTGATGCGGTCGTTTGATGTGGCAAATGATGGGGTTGACCCGAGACTGAGTACGACATATGGAGACCACTTCCAAGACCACCACCCGTATGGGGATGTGTAACAGCCGCTGTAAGAGCCTTACTTGTCGGTACACTGCCATAACCCGATCCACCCTGTTGTTGTGAGGTATAGGCCGCCACCGCCGCTGCATTCTGCTGAGCCGCTGTACCATGATTCATAGAGGCTAAGGCAACCAAATTTTGCATGGATAGGGAAGGGGCCAATAGTCCATTGCTAGTAGCAGTGTTGGCGTTTGTGGCACCTGTGACACCTGTGACACCTGTTGCTGCTGCTGCAGCGGCGGCGGCTGCGGCGGCAGCATTATTGGCCGATATTGTGGCGGCAGCAGCTGTGGTACTATGATCCGGTGGGAAATTTAGTCCTGATTTGTTATCCAGTTTTTTTATAGATTTTTTTTTGGTTTTTTTATGGGTTTTTAAGGAGGTTTTTGTGTTTGATGGTAAGGTAAATTGTTTGTTTGTTTTTGTACACATGACCACACAATCAAGTCAATCATAGAGACATACCAAAAAATGTATTTGAACGAATATATAAAAAAACATAGAAGAAAACACACACCCAATTGGATTATTTACATTTACGAAAAAACAAATTAAATAAATTAATATTGGAAAAAAAATACAAAAATGAATACATAATTTAAACTAATTGAGATTTTTTCGAATAATGTTTGAGTTGTAAAGCTAAATGGTAAAATGGGCTTAGACGGGAATTAAAAAAAATTAAAGGGCCTTTAGAGGATCCTCAAACGACGGTCGAGCATGGTTTTTCAAAAGAATATTTTTTCAAGGACCTACACAAGGCGTGGATTTTTAAAAAAAGGGGTTTTCAAGGTGTCATACAAGGCGGGGATTTTTAAAAGAATATTTTTTCAAGGTGTCATACAAGGCGTGGATTTTTAAGAAAATATTTCTTTAGGGATCTACATAAGGCGTGGATTTTTTAAAGAATATTTTTTCAAGGACCTAAATAAGACGTGGATTTTTTAAGGAATATTTTTCTAAGGACCAAAAGAAGGTGTGGGTTTTTTAAAGAATATTTTTTCAAGAACCTAAATAAGGCATGGATTTTTTAAAGAATATTTTTTCAAGGCGTGGATGTTTTAAAGAACATTTTTTCAAGGCGTGGATTTTTTAAAGAATATTTTTTCAAGGCGTGGATTTTTTAAAGAATATTTTTTCAAGGCGTGGATTTTTTAAAGAATATTTTTTCAAGGCGTGGATTTTTTATAGAATATTTTTTCAAGGCGTGGATTTCTTAAAGAATATTTTTTCAAGGCGTGGATTTCTTAAAGAATATTTTTTCAAGGCGTGAATTGTTTAAAGAATATTTTTTCAAGGCGTGGATTGTTTAAAGAATATTTTTTCAAGGCGTGGATTTTTTAAAGAATATTTTTTCAAGGCTTGGATTTTTTAAAGAATATTTTTTCAAGGAGTGGATTTTTCAAAGAATATTTTTTCAAGGCGTGGATTTTTTTAAGAACATTTTTCAAGGCGTGGATTTTTTAAAGAACATTTTTTCAAGGCGTGGATTTCTTAAAGAATATTTTTTCAAGGCCTGGATTTTTTAAAGAATATTTTTTCAAGGCCTGGATTTTTTAAAGAATATTTTTAAGGCCTGGATTTTGTAAAGAATATTTTTTCAAGGCCTGAATTTTTTAAAGAATATTTTCTCATGGCGTGGATCTTTTAAAGAATATTTTTTCAAGACCTGAATTTTTTAAAGAATATTTTCTCATGGCGTGGATCTTTTAAAGAATATTTTTTCAAGGCGTGGATTTTTTTAAGAATATTTTTTCAAGGCGTGGATTTTTTTAAGAATATTTTTTCAAGGCGTGGATTTTTTTAAGAATATTTTTTCAAGGCGTGGATTTTTTTTAAGAATATTTTTTTCAAGGCGTGGATTTTTTAAAGAATATTTTTTCAAGGCCTGGATTTTTTAATGAATATTTTTTCAAGGCGTGGATTTTTTAAAGAATATTTTTTCAAGGCCTGGATTTTTTAATGAATATTTTTTCAAGGCCTGGATTTTTTAAAGGCCTTCCATACAAGGCGTGGATTTTTTAAAGGCCTTCCATAGAAGGCGTGGATTTTTTAAAGGCCTTCCATAGAAGGCGTGGTTTTTTTAAAGGCCTTCCATAGAAGGCGTGGATTTTTTAAAGGCCTTCCATAGAAGGCGTGGATTTTTTAAAGGCCTTCCATACAAGGCGTGGATTTTTTAATGAATATTTTTTCAAGGCCTGGATTTTTTAAAGGCCTTCCATACAAGGCGTGGATTTTTTAAAGGCCTTCCATAGAAGGCGTGGATTTTTTAAAGGCCTTCCATAGAAGGCGTGGATTTTTTAAAGGCCTTCCATACAAGGCGTGGATTTTTTAAAGGCCTTCCATACAAGGCGTGGATTTTTTAAAGGCCTTCCATACAAGGCGTGGATTTTTTAAAGGCCTTCCATACAAGGCGTGGATTTTTTAAAGGCCTTCCATACAAGGCGTGGATTTTTTAAAGGCCTTCCATACAAGGCGTGGATTTTTTAAAGGCCTTCCATACAAGGCGTGGATTTTTTAAAGGCCTTCCATACAAGGCGTGGATTTTTTAAAGGCCTTCCATACAAGGCGTGGATTTTTTAAAGGCCTTCCATACAAGGCGTGGATTTTTTAAAGGCCTTCCATACAAGGCGAGGATTTTTTAAAGGCCTTCCATACAAGGCGTGGATTTTTAAAGAATATTTTTTCAAGGTCAAAAATAAGGCATGGATTTTCGAAGAATATTTTTTGAAGGTCCAAAATAAGGCATGGATTTTCGAAGAATATTTTTTCAAGTTCAAAAATAAGGCATTGATTTTCGAAGAATAGTTTTTCAGGGTCCAAAATAAGGCATGGATTTTCGAAGAATATTTTTTCAAGGTCCAAAATAAGGCATGGATTTTCGAAGAATATTTTGCAATGTCCAAAATATTTTTTTTTTTTTGTATTAATTATTTTCAACCACTAAGCCCATTTACCATTTCAGCACAAACAAAATATATATACGATACGTGGCATTGCAATACTTTCTATACATACATACATAAATACAAATAAAGAGCAAAAAAAAAAAACAACAAATACATAAATAACAAAATATAAAATTAAAAAAATGTAAACTAAAAACAAAAACTTAAAAAGAAAGCATACTCTTTTTTATTTAATCAAAGAAAGAAAAAAAAACAATTCAACACAAAATTTAATTAACAAAATTAAAATTAAAAAAAATAGAAATTTTTCGATAAATGCAAAATGCTGTTAAGACAATTTTGAAAAAAAGTAGAGTAGAGGAAAGAGTTTATTTTTTGTATTACTGCAAATTAGATGAAAACATTTTAGATTTTTAGATTGATTAGTCCAAATTTTGTTAATTATTATTTTTTGGTTTGTTTTTAATTTTGGGTGATTTAAGCCGAGCATTAAAAGTAGAATAGAAGAAGAAGAAAACAATAGCGCTTCACAAAACAATTTTTATGCAAATACAAGAAATAACGCAGTAAGAGGTTAGAAAAAAAATATAGATATATGACTGGAATTTTTGGAATTTAATATTTTTTGTAATGAATTTTTAATTTTTTTTTCCAAAACATACACACAAAAATATAGAGTAGATGTACGTGTAAATATTTAAAAATACATATTTAGCTGTTCTTTTATTTCTGGATAACACTCAATCACACATTCACATTGACATTGCTATTTTACGGTTTGTGGTCGAATTTTTGTTTCGCTTAATTTAATTGGACACATGCTAACATAGAATATATTTGGAAATACACGATATCCACAACAAAACAAAAATCTAGGCAGCAGACGTTCAGTTTTATTTTCTCTGATTTTTTTCTATTGATTCCCAAATGATGACAATGACATTTACAAAATAGATATTGTTTTGTTGTTGTTGTTTTTCTGTGGAAAATAATGTAATTTATATATTTTTGTTGTTGTTTTTTTAGCAAAAAATAATATTGTATTTAAAGCAAATATTTTGGTGTAGAAACTATTTTTCAGGGCCATTTAAGGTGTAGATTTTTTAAAAGATTATTTTTTCAAGGCCTTCCAAAGCGTACATTTTTATACCCTACACAACTATGTTGTCCGATTATTATAGCTTTGTGCAGCGCCAAATGTTTGTTACGCCGCGAAATATTGCTCCTAGGCCCACCTTTAAGTCTACCGATCGTCATATCTCGACTAGGTGAGTCGATCTAGACATGTGTGTCCGTCCGTCCTTCCGTCTGTCCATTATAATTTGACCCCTATTGTTTTTGGGAAAGATCGGTTAATATTTAGGGGATGGAATGGACCTAATACTAAATTTTTGTCGTTTTTTCTGGTCGCTCCAGAGGCCGCAATAATGGCCCGAACATCGTGAAATGGCATGGAGAAGGGGATCGGGCCAAAGAATAAGCATGCCGGTTTTGATAAAGATCGGTCAATATTTAGCGGGTCAAATGGACCCAGACTTTTGTGTGAAAAATGACAACATTTTTATTATATGTCGTATATATTTACTCCTGAAGGGCATAGACCTGAGAAGTTGACATTATATGCAAGAGGAGTGGTTGACCTGTAAATTATATTGTTGTATGTGCTCGGATGTGGGAGTTAAACCTAAATATTCACTCTAGAGAGCGGAACTATAGCGCAGATCGCTTTGAAATGTTCCATGAGGTTCCAGTCATGGTCAAGGACAACGCCTATAATTTTCGGTGATGGTCAGATAATAATTTTGGAATGAAGTGGGCCGAAAACTTTATTTTTATTATTTTTTTTTTAGTTATTTTCGAGTCGAACTATAGACCACAAATGAAAGCCGAACATCACAACACAACACACGGTGAAGGGAATCTGGACAATAGATGTACTAATTACTCAGAATACTTGGAAAATATATCAGTGTGAGGAAGAGGGCAAGAGGGTGCAAATATCACGGAATAAACATCCGCAGGAATAAACATCCAGGCCCGGAATAAACATCCGCAGAAAATTTGAGTTCTGTGATAGTTGTGTAGGGTATCGTATGGTCGGCCCCGTCCGACTATACTGCTCCGCTCACTGGTTTATAAAGAATATTTTCCTACAAGGTGTGGATTCTTTTCTTGGGTAAATATAAGGCCTGGATTTTACATACGGCCAAAATAACACCTGGACATTTTATAGGGCCAAAATAAGACCTGGATATTTTATAGGGCTAAAAGAAGGCCTCGATTTTTTAATGATTTATTTCTCAAAATAAGGCCTGATTTTTTATGGGGCCAAATTAAGGCTTGGAGATTTTAAGGATTTTTTTCTGGCCAAAAAACGTTGATTATATTTTTTCTAGGGCCAAAATAAGGCC